GTAACATGACTGTTTTGGGGAAAAAAAAAGGCGAGGTTCAGCCAGAAAAGCCTATAGCTAGGCAAGTTCGAAAAGGCAAATTTGGGTGTGATTCATGATTTAACACATATACTCAAAAATAAATAAATCACGAGGAAAAGAGAGTAAAAAAAAATCTCGTGAGTTTGATTGATCCACTTTTTAAGCCTCAAAATTGTGTTTAACTGCGGTCATCATCACGGGCTGAGTCGGCGTATCTCAGTGAATCACATTTAACCCTAGTTACGTTATGATGAGAGTTTAAAGATTTTAGAGTAAGGTCAAGAGAAAGGAACGTTCGAGGTAATATCCAAGTCATTATCCTAAATTTACCATTGATGTTTTCACTTTTCTTGGTTGTTTGTTGATGTCTACATAATTTTTTTTTTAGTACAGAGACCTTCTGGTTTCCGAATCCACATGGGAACCGACTAATCTGGAATCGAGCCGAGTAGGACCACAAGGGCGGCAAAGCTCCCCCTCAAGAGTTTAACACTGCTGCATTCCCAAGGCTCGAACACGAGACCACTGGTTAAGCTGGAAGAAACCCAAACCATCTTATCCAAGCGCTCTTGGGCTGATGTCTACATAAATTTAATGTAATGGAAACACATGTCATGCGTAATGTTATTAATGTTTTATATGCCATGACATTTGTACAATTAAATGTCACTTGATTAGGCAATAAGTTGTTTCCTAATACCTTAAAATTAATGGGAATGGCTACAATCCCATAAAAGAACCATCCCATTACAACACTTTAGTATTTTTCAAATTTAATAGTCTCAATCCATCAGTTTGTAAAGGATTTCAACGATCGCACGTTTGTTAGGGTAGACGAGACAAGACTAATTTTATTATCTCTACCAAAATTGCACAGTAGAAATATGATGCACACATTACTTGTTGTGTATGATCCACACAAGATAAGATTATGTGCATATAATGTGTTACACAGTTGTTATGCATGTGGAGGGTTCCGCACCTATACCACCGTGTCTCTTTTGTCTTTGGTGTCGGGCGTAGGTGTTCGACCGACTAGCTTGAGCCGTGGGCTAAATTCTTAAGTTGGGCCCAATTGTCCTGTTGGTTTGGGTGATTTGTGGTGTGGGTCTCTGGGTGCGGGTCTCGGGTATCCGTTGGGGCGTGGAATAGGTCTGTTGGTGTCCGACCCAGTTAGGCATTTTGTTGGTAGTTTATGGTTTGGATTCCTGGGCCTTGGCTTTGTCCGTCTGGATGGATGTCCGGGCCATCGTTGGTTGGCTTGGTTTGGTTGTTAGATGCGGAGGGATGGTGTAGTTATTGATTTTTGCGTTTTATGTATTCCCCTATTGAGAGCTTCTACTTGTTGTTATTCTCCCTTTTAGAGCGTTTAGTTTGTGTTTTGTGGTAGGTAGGTTCTATCAGTGTTCTAAAAATCGGCCTACGCGGCCGCCTAGGCAGCGCCTAGGCGCTAGGCGGCGTTCCGGCGCCTACGATTTGGTCGAGTCGGTGGTAAAAATCGGCCAGGCGGGCTCGGCGCCGCCTAGGCGGGCCTAGGCAGCTTCGACGGCCCTCGACGGTCTCAGCGGCTAGGCGGATGCGGCGGCTTTATCGGGTTTAGGCGAGCTAGGCGGGACGATGGCGGAGCTCGGCGTTTTAAGTAACAGGTCAGTTTTTTTTTTTTTTTT